CTCAGCTTTTAAATATTTTAAATATATTAATTATTTTATCTTAAATATATTACACTATTTTAAATAACATTTTTGTCTTTTAATAATATAAAGAAAACAACAACTCATCATTTAATCATTTTTCAGTGGTTGGCCATGATGGTTTGGTGAGTAGCGTCAGTGCGCTAAAGGCCGCGTGGTTTGAACTCGCCGCAAAGCAGCATGGCGGGCGGGTACGTGGGGCGGGCAGGGGTCATCATAAGTGAAACCGGCACGATTGGTTGAGCAAGGGCGGGTGATCCCATTGGTCCGCAGGGGCTAGTGGGTTGATGGTCATTTAAGTTTTTTGTTTTCCATTTTTTTTTGGCGGAGTTTATATCCAACGAAATGTTTCTGACAGATTTTTCGCCATTTTTTTTTTGACGGACTGTTTTACGCTAGCAGCACTTTCCGACGTCATTTTAACACGACAATAACTATTTCTACCATAAATAAGCTATTTCTGCTATATTTTGTGTCATTTTTCGATGAAAAATAGATAGACGAAAATGACGTTTTTTCTTTAGTGAGAGTTTATTAAAGTTATTAAAGAAGCTTAATTTCATTTATTAGCTTGGCTAACAAATATGTTTTTGATGTCTGAGAATAGAATGTTTATGGGATTAGTAGGCTGACTGATTACGCTTTAGCAAGCTTTGTTTAGAAAATTGGGAGGTTGGTTATTAATGATACATTCATGTTACAATACAGAGTAGTAGTATTTCTCATATGATGATCAATCCACTTTGTAGATTAGGATTAAAAAAGACAAGAGAGATACAAATACTATACAGATGGTTGATCTATGTCATTTTGGGAAAATTTTGAAATTGCATGTCGACGATCACAGGTACAATATTCTATGATCAGTAGAGTATAGGTTTCAGAATAGTGGTGATCTGATAAGTGGTTTCTATGATAGAGCCCACATATTTGGATTATACCATATTATCCATGTAGTAATAAGATGGTATCATGATCGAAACTAATAGTTTTCGTGGTTTAGATTAAGCCGAGTAGTGATAATTATGTTTTCATATGTGAAACATGCCCATATAATGAAGCTTAAACATAAAAAAAACATAAAAGTGAAAATGTGAATAAATCACTATGAATTTTGCCATGGGTTTTAGGACTTGGTAGGGTTACAATGTTGTATGGGTGATCATAAACCAGTTGACAAAGTTTTCTTATGAGACATATAAATTCAATAGATAAGGTGGCTCAACTATATATGAAAGAGATTGTTAGACTGCATGAGATTCCAAATGTTGTTATCTTTGATCATGATGTTAGATTCACTTTTAAGTTGTGGAACAAATAACAATTATTCATTAATTTGTACTCATTCACAATGCTTGTTTTATAAGTATGCTCAAATCAGATGTCAAAATCACTATATATCTTCTTCCTACTCAAATTGTATAAAATGCAATAAATATATTTTTAACAGTTGACAATACAAAACCATCTAGTCAAAATGATCAAAATAATAAGTACTACAAAATTTATGCCGTGTAAGTTCACTAAATCAGGAGAAAATATAATAAATATTGATTTAGATAGGAGAATAAATCTTGAAGTCAAACTCTTTGTAAATAGATATAAGATAGTAGTCACTTATTACGATCAAAAGAAATTTCGTAGAATAAGCAAAATGAATTATCAAAGAAATGTCCACTTTCTCTCTAGTCTCTCTTTTTTTTTTTATTCCTCGCTGCTCCTCCTTTATTTTCTTCTTGAGCAAGCCAAATGAGAGGGGGAGGGAATAGTTTAGTGGATGACTTTATATTAAAAATATAGTTTAGTGCTTAGCATTGTCGCTCTCTTGACCTGGAGCCACAACGCTGCATGCTCAATCCAAAGTTTTATTAAACAAAGAGCTTAGTGTCGCCTCATAGAATTTCAGCTCCCTAGTGCTGCTCCCCCAGGCTTGGTTGAGCCACTGCGCCAAAAACCACAGTGTCACAGTGCTCCAATTTAGAAATTTTAAAATTTTCAAATAAATATTATTTTAAGAACTGTAGGTTATTACAATTTGATATTTTGACACCTCCATGATGTGACATATCTGTGAAAGTATAATTAATAGCTGTTATCATAAGTACATTATGATAGTCTTATGAGACCACTTCTATGAAAGGTGAAAAGGTGAACTTTTGTATGAAGTCAAATAGTAATTTTTGCATTTAAATTTCTATAGTAAAGACATGCTGGATTTTATATCAATTACTAATGTTAATACCTTGTTTACACTCTGATATTTATTTTATTATTTGAATAATTTATTAAACTAAATGGATATTGAAATATGTGGTGGGAATAAGGACTCTGCTAAGTTTTTTATGATCACCCTTTGGATTTCTCTAAATTTTTTGGAAAAAGAAAGGGCCTAATAGAGTAGAGTTGATAAGTGTGGGACTTGTAAGATTGAGACTTCTAAGATATTTTTGTAATCCAATATTTATTCTTTTGATGTATGGATATTATGCTAACAAGATTATTGTAAATAATTTTTTTGGAGAAATTATATTAAAAAATGATGTTCTTGATTGTTATTATAATTTTGGATTATTTAGTTGGCTTTGAGTTATTCTATGTTATAACTGAGAGAAAATTAGATTAAGATTTAATCATTCCATTAGATTTCATGACATTACATAGAATTCTTTGAAAATTTCTTGCAATAATTCTTCATGTGTAAGGCGAAAAATGATTTCTATTGAGATTAAATTATGTTTTATTTTTAGTTTGGCTTTTGGTATTCTAATGATCACCACCTTGCAATTTATTCCTCTTAAAGCCTGTTTGGGACAGCTTTTTTATTGCTTCTTAAAACAGCTTTTTAGTATAAAAATTTTATTTGTTGTACTAAAAAGGTTATAATGCTTGAGACAATGGTATCCGTCTAACAATTGTACTAAAGAGGTTATAATGCAGAGTTTATAATGCTCGAGACAATGGTATCCGTCTAACAGATAGCAATAAATAGTTGCATGCTAGGAAATTAACTATAAAATAGAGTGTTTGTTGTCATAGAATTGTATGAAAACTTTGCGCACAATTAGATAAAAGAAAATCAAAGAGTCACTAAAATTTCTATGAAGAAAAATTTTAAAAAAAAAATTTGGATCCAACCAAGATGAAATAATCATTTAAAGAAGTAAGATTAAAAAAAAAATTCTTTTACTCATTATTAGAAAAATCTTCATCATAAAATTTTAATTTCTATCTTGACCCTGTGAATGTAGTGGAGAATACTAAAGATCTGGTGAAGAATGATAATAGTAATTAAATAATTACAGTTAAGATGTAATAGTTGAGCAATGGTGATCAGGTTATTCTAATTGAATGATGCAAGCGAAGAGATTGTGGTTAGTCGATAGTGATCAATTGATAATGGTTAGAAAAATACTATTTTGAGATGGTGATCAAGACATGACAATGGAGTGATGGTGATCTGGTAGTTGAGCAATAGTGGTAAGGCAATAGAAGTTAAGTAGTGGTGCTTCAATAATGATGGTTAGGTGATAGTTATTAGTAGTGATTCTCAATTGTTGATCATTAGATAAGACTATGGAGTTCTTCAAATCTCCATGACCTTTCCAATTTTAGGTCATCTCCATGCAAAGAATGAGAGTCTCTTTATAATTATGTAAAGTGGCATCTATATAAATTTAACTAAAATCTTCAAACACTCCATCAAATGTCCTATGTCGATTCCCTAATTAATAATGATCATTCTTTAGCATGTAAATGTCTTAATAATGATGTAACCAGTAGTCTTGGGCTCATTGAATTTATCTTATTGAAACATCCATTTGATTTATAAGCATATAAGATTTGAAGATTATTTAGTCATTCAAATAATACTGTGAACTTTCTAAAGATGCCTTTAGTACTTAATTTTGGGTCATTTTGACTCTGATCAAAACATGTTTGATGTCATTATACTCATCTCATCGAATTATTTATTTTAACTATAACATTGCTAAAATCAGAGTTTGAATGATTTTAATTTACTTTTAAAAGTTTCCAACTTAGGGAGCCTAATTCTTAATGATACTCTTGAGTGAATTGTCTTCAAAAGAATCGATTAATCTCTTAATAAATAGTAGCTAGTTAAATTGAGCTACAATGGCAATTTAGAGAGATATAGAGATTTGTATGAGTGTCTTAAAGAGATCTTGAGGGAGGCTTTGATGTGATAAAAGCTCAAAGTGTAAGTTTGGATGATGTGCGCCCACACACAATTATCAGTGGGCTCATATTTATATATTTGAGATGGGCATAATAAATTTTACAAAATTGGCTACATACTTTGATTACGTAAAAATAATCTAATTTCAAATTAATGTAGCTAAAAATGTAGCAAGGGAGCATAACTTATAATCTACTAGTATTTTGGAACTTTTGGCAACTTGAAGATTTTGACCAAATACCCTTAGATGGTTCACCTATAAAAAGCCCATAGTTTGATAATAAGCACTTTAGATGAGTAGTCAAAGTGAGTTGACAACTAATTGTGGTGAATATGTTACTTTCTTGTTAGTTCCATTATTCAAGTTCAATATGATTTGAATTAAAGCTAACTCATATGCAATTTAATGATATTTGGTTCTAAAAGACTCGAGACTTTAGGGGGCTTTAAGAATGGTGACTTCTAAGATATAGACAATTTGTTCCAATTGATAATGAGTGACCTACTAATCCTACTTCAAGCTCTTAAAGATTGACTTGGCCTATAGTAATTTCGGTGCAAAGAAACTATATATTTATACATAAAATAGAAATTACAAGGAAAAGAATAGAAAATCACAAAAGAATAATTTTTTGTAGATTTTTGAAGCATACATTGATTTCTCCCACTTTGGTGCTCCCTCTCTCTCACATTTTATTCATTTACAAATATAATGAGAAGCAAGTGAATAAAGGAAAATATAAAAAACAAGCACTATAAGCATAAGAAATAAACCAAGTGATCATTGATTTGAGAAGAAGTTAGTGAAACATCCTTGATCAGAGGAGCCTAACTCATTTTGTGAAAACCATCCATCGCCTGAACATTGCAATTGCTTGTTAGAATGTTGTTGTTGCTGCTGTTGTTGTTGATGGTGTTGTTGCTGATGGGATTGATTTTGTTGTGCCTCAGCATAATTGACACAACCCAGATGCTCAGAAGACCATACGAACCCTTGGCTTGAACCTTCTCCACTAGCCTCTTTTCCCTCTGTAGGGGATTCCAAAAGATAGCTTAAGTGATCCCCCCAATCATTAGAGCTACTCTTCTCTTTCCCCGGCATATGCTTCTCCAGAACACTTTTAACGTTCGGACTTTCCATGAGCATCTCATCGTTTTCTCCCACCGAGTTTCCCTTCATTCGAACTCGACATAGAACCCAATCATCCAACTATGATCATCACAAATTATCAATAAATATACTTATATTTCAATGTAGTAAAACAAGATTTCATCAGCTAAATCATCAATAATGGGTGTTTGGATCTCTAACATTTAGATTCACATCAGTTATTATACACACGTTGATAGCATTCTTATGTACTCCTCTCATTTGAAATATACGTATAATATCAAAATATAAGTATTAAATGTCTAGTACAACAACAAAAGCATAAAAATAAATTATCTAGCACATGAAGTTTCAACTATTCAATAGAAGGAATTATATGATTAGCTTCTTCAGTGGTTTGTCTTTGAACTTCTATATCATCTTCAATAAATATAATAGCTTCTAATTTAGGCTTATCAAGTGAAAGATTAATAATTTCTAATCTTCCCATATCATCAAGAGACTCAAATCCATCTCGGAAATGAGAGAACCTTTCTCGTAGCCCCGAAAGTAAATACGACGCGTTTTTTTTCGGATTTCTTTTTGTTTTTTAACGGACTCGCGTATCAAATATGCGTGTCCTTTTGAAATTAAATAGTATTTTAATTGGATATGGCTTTGATGTATCCGACACATATCGGTGCAACATAGACGTATATATAGTATACGCTATTTTTTTACGACATGTTAGATAAATAACAAGTTAAAGACATGTTCATAATATAAGATCTCATCTTACTCTCATGGAGCTCTTCTGCTTCTGAGTTTGTGTTGGAGCCATGGAGTCAAGAAGGCGATACTCTTGCATGACCCAATCAGTCTTGGTGCCCTTTGACAAATAATTGTGGTGAATATGTTACTTTCTTGTTAGTTCCATATTCAAGTTCAATAAGATTTGAATTAAAGCTAACTCATATGCAATTTAATGATATTTGGTTCTAAAAGACTTGACACTTTAGGGGGCTTTAAGAATGGTGACTTCTAAGATATAGACAATTTGTTCCAATTGATAATGAGTGACCTACTAATCCTACTTCAAGCTCTTAAAGATTGACTTGGCCTATAGTAATTTCGGTGCAAAGAAACTATATATTTATACATAAAATAGAAATTACAAGGAAAAGAATAGAAAATCACAAAAGAATATTTTTTTGTAGATTTTTGAAGCATACATTGATTTCTCCCACTTTGGTGCTCCCTCTCTCTCACATTTTATTCATTTACAAATATAATGAGAAGCAAGTGAATAAAGGAAAATATAAAAACAAGCACTATAAGCATAAGAAATAAACCAAGGGATCATTGATTTGAGAAGAAGTTAGTGAAACATCCTTGATCAGAGGAGCCTAACTCATTTTGTGAAAACCATCCATCGCCTGAACATTGCAATTGCTTGTTAGAATGTTGTTGTTGCTGCTGTTGTTGTTGATGGTGTTGTTGCTGATGGGATTGATTTTGTTGTGCCTCAGCATAATTGACACAACCCAGATGCTCAGAAGACCATACGAACCCTTGGCTTGAACCTTCTCCACTAGCCTCCTTTCCCTCTGTAGGGGATTCCAAAAGATAGCTTAAGTGATCCCCCCAATCATTAGAGCTACTCTTCTCTTTCCCCGGCATATGCTTCTCCTGAACACTTTTAATGTTCGGACTTTCCATGGGCATCTCATCATTTTCTCCCACTGAGTTTCCCTTCATTCGAACTCGACATAGAACCCAATCATCCAACTATGATCATCACAAAATATCAATAAACCTTCTAAACTTTCAATGTAGTAAAACAAGATTTCTTCAGCTAAATCATCAGTAATGGGTGCTTGGATCATGAACATTTAGATTCACATTAGTTATTATACACACATTGATAGCACTCTTATGTACTCATCTCATTTGAAATATACGTATATCTATGTTGCACCGATACGGATACGACGACACAGATTCGACACGATACGGATACGGGACACGTCAATTCTTAAAAATACATGATACGGGTATGGTGCGGACATGGCATTATAATTTATAAATTATACATAAAAATTAAGAAAACAATCAAAGCATAATATTTGAAATTACAAAAAAAAATGACAACAACATCATTTGTAGCCTTGTAGGTATAATATGAAAATATAAGTATTAAATGTCTAGTACAACAACAAAAGCATAAACATAAATTGTCTAGCACATGAAGTAGTTTCAACTATTCAATAGAAGGAATCATATGATTAGCTTCTTCAGTGGTTTGTCTTTGAACTTCTATATCATCTTTAATAAATATAATAGCTTCTAATTTAGACTCATCAAGTGAAACATTAGTAATTTCTAATCTTCCCATATCATCAAGAGACTCAAATCCATCTTGGAAATGAGAGAACCTTTCTCGTATCCACGGAAGTAAATACGACACGTCTTTTTCCGGATTTCTTTTTGTTTTTCAACAGACACGTGTATCGAATACGTGTGTCCTTTTGAAATTAAAGTATTTTAATTAGATATGACATTGATGTATCCAACACATATCGGTGGCATATCGGAGGCGTATCTATGTATTAGTGTATGGGATACAGCACGCCTTCATAAATAGGTGTATCGGTGCAACATAGACTTATATATAGTATATGCTATCTTTTTTACGACATATTAGATAAATATCAAGTACTTAAAAGACAGGTTCATAATATAACATCTGATCTTACTCTCATGGAGCTCTTCTGCTTCTGAGTTTGTGTTGGAGCCATGGAGTCAAGAAGACGATACTCTTGCATGACCCAATCAGTCTTGGTGCCCTTAGGAGGTCTGCCCTTATAAAAGACCAGAGCTTTCTTGACGCCAATGCATTGCACTCCACCTGCAGACAATATGGGCTTGTCTGTACCAGTAGCCTTCCAATAGCCAGACGCAGCTGCTCTATTTGGCCTAACGCCATTAGGATACTTGCGTTCACGTGGGCTGAAGAAGAACCATTCTCCTTGACCAAACAGTGCCTTCTCTGAAAGAAACAACAGAAAGAACACTCATAAACATCCAAATAATGACATAGCATTTATGGCTTCTTTCTCTTGGGAATATAGCTGAGTTTATCGGATAGAGATCTGCTATATTTCTCCTGAGAGAAATCACTACATACATTATGGAAATAGATCCATAATAGATTTGTTCAAATTCTTTTTTCTAATGAAAATTTATATATTTTTTGAATTAATTGTTGCTTTATTGCCAACCAATATTATGAATAAATCAATTTGCTTTTCTATTATAGTTTAATATAATTAAACAAATTTGAATAAAAGGAGTTTAATTTACTCAATATTATTCAATCACGTAAATCTAAAGAGTAAAGTAAATATAATTCAATATAAATCAATTATTTAATTATTTTACTGAGATATTTTTAAATAAAAACTTTATTTAGATTTTAGTTAGGGTCTATTAGAGATGGCTGTAGATTTTTATAAAAGTGATTTATAAAATCGTTGTAAAAAAATAACTTTTTTGAAAGCAATTATAAAAAAAAATTTCTTAGCGCAAAAATATGTTGAAAGTAACGTGAAAGCAGTAGCCAAATAAAAATTATAATTGCAATCTAAAAGCAAAAAAAAACAGTGAAAAACTGTCTCAAACAAATCCTTAGCCATTTACTAAGATAATTATTTGATTTGTTTCATTTTAGCTATATTTCTTACAAAAAAATCTTAAATATTTCAGGTTTGGTATGGATTCAGTATAGTTATTTTAGAATTAATATAGCCATTAGATGGTTTAAATTATCAAATTATAATTTTATTTTATTATTATTATTTTTATTTTGAATCGAAGTATAAACTGTAAAATTTGAGGATGATTCAGTACTGTAGGATTTCTTCAATTTTTCTTTTCAAATAAAGCTTGTTCTAGTTTTTGAATTATTCTTTTATTTCTAACCAATAACATATTTTGTTATATTTTATATATAATTCCATTTGAACCTACATAAATTATTTATTCCATTTGATATAATCAGACAAATCTTAATAGTAAAGTAAATAAATTTAATAAGAATCATTTATTTTTATTATTTGACTGATCAGATGATTTTGAAAAATAAAATTTGATTTAGATTTCGGTTACAACATCTATTAGATGTAATCATAAATTTTTAAAATTAAATCAGATAAATAAATTCATAGGAAGACTGCAAATTGTTTAATTTATTTTAAACTCTCACATAGGTTTTATTTAAACAATAAATAATTTAATCATATAAAATTCATTATTGCATGTTCATGAAAATATTTAAGAGATGTATCTAAGGAGGAAGGATGAATTACCAGGCAGGTCCCATGGATTATACTTGTACAGATCGATGTCAGCAATGATAGCCCAATCTGCAGGTAAAGAAGCTGTGACCTTCTTCCACAAGTATTGCGTGATCAGCTCTTGATCTGTGGGATGGAAACGAAACCCAGGAGGAAACTGAGAGCTAAGCAACTCTTCTCCTTCCATTAGTTGCTTCGAAGCTCTTACACAGTTACTGTGAAGAACTACGCAACAAAGAAGAGGAAGAAGAAGAAGAAGAAGAAGAAGATTAGAAGACTGGAAGAAAGGATAGAGGGAACAATAATGGGCTTGAAGCAATGGAGAAGATAACTAGAGTCCTTTTATAGAGAAAGTTTCTGTCGGGGAGATGCCAAACATGGCAGTGGGTGGTGATAACATAGGCAATGGCCGGCCATTTCTTTTTAGAAGCTGGTTAAGAGTGCTGAAGCTGTGTATATTTGGAGGCCACACACAAGAAGACAGTATTTGAGTAATGCCATGAGGGAAAAGTCAAGAGCTTAATTTGCTAAGAATTTGAACAAGTAAAACACGTCACTTGATAAAAGTTAAAGCATAAGATTGTTAATTCCAGGAATGAGATATATTGGGATGGGAGAGCCATCAAATAGAACAGAAAGTAAGGCCAAGCTAATGTGTAATTGGCCGTAAATTTGGATTTTTCTGAAATATAAGAACTTTTACTAGTGGAAAGCCGGCTTGGTCATTTCTTTGTGAAATAATTTTTGTTTCAAACCACTAGAGCCATTACAGGAAATTCGGTGTTTACCTATGGTAATTCCGACGGCCAAATAACCGTCAGAATTTTTGGCGGTTAAACCAGCTGTATGACCACCGGTATTAACCGGCAGTTAACCAGGGGGTTTTTAATAATAAACTGCCGAAAATGCCGGCGGTAAAATAACCCCGGGTAGGCCGCCAGTTATGTTGTTTTCGCATCGCCTTTACAGGCAGCTTAGCCGTTACCGGCAGTCGAAACCGCAGGTACACTGTCGGAAATTGACCTAAAAATGCATGGCCAGACCGACCCTTCCTCCTATTTTGTATAACCGCCGGAAAATTTATCCTAACCGCCGGTAATTGACAATTTTTCTGTAGTGAGCTAGCCTGATTAGAGCCTGTATAAGACCCATCCACAATTGATTGGGTCTACCACTGGATGAGCAAATTCATTGGTGAAATCGCTGGGTTGCTGGGAGGAGTCGCCAATTTGCAGGCAAAATAAATGATTTGTTGGATGATGTTATCAACTAGCTGAGTAGAGCACGGGCAAGTAAACTTTGTTCTTGGAGAGTAGGATTTTGGCTTGGCAAGTAGCTAAGCTTTGAATCATGTGCATCCTAAAGTGCTCATCATGCCTCAACCCAATAATTTGGAAATTCTTACCTCAATAAATTTATTGTTAGAACATGAGAACAGAGATGGACGGAGCAAGAACACATAACAAGATAGAGGAAATAGAATTATTATTGAGTTGAATGAATATTACAGTGTACAGAGAACTGGTATATAAAGACGGTAAAATGGCAAAATAAGTAATAAAGATACATGTAGTTAACGTTCGTTTACAGCCTCCCTCAAATTAATCATTCTAGGGACGAATGGTTAATTTGCGACGAAGGTTATGAAAGCGAACGGCAGAAAACGATTTTGTTAAAATATCTGCAATCTGTTCTTCGGACGGAATATGAGTAAGGGAGATAGCGCCGTTCTTGACATGCTGGCGAATAAATTGGTAGTCTATCTCAATATGCTTGGTTCGGGCGTTGAAGACTGGATTCCGAGCGAGAGCAATTGCAAATGTGTTGTCACAATATATTTGTGTAGGAGAGGTTTGTGGAAGATCAAGTTCAGCGACAAGACGACGCAACCAGATGACATCGGAGGTGGCAGCCGAGAGAGCTCTATATTCGGCCTCGGTGGGTGATTTAGCCACCGTCACTTGCTTCTTGACGGTCCATGAAATGAGAGTTGTACCCAAGAAGGTACAAAAATCGGAAATGGATTTCCGGTCGGAGGAGTCGGATGCCCAATCCGCGTCGGTGTAGGTTTGTTGGATGAGATGTCCGGTGGTGATCGGAAGACCGAATGAAATGGTGCCTTTGACGTACCGGAGCAACCGTTTAAGAGCTTGAAAATCTTGAGTGGTCGGTTGATGCATGTGTTGGCAGACCTGATTTGTAGCAAAGGCGATATCTGGCCGGGTAATTGATAGATACTGGAGAGAGCCAGCAAGGCGCCGGTAAAGGGTCTGGTCATGGAACGGCTGTGGGGTTGTTGATTGGTGTTTGGATTTAGGTGACACAGGTGTATCTGCGGGTTTGCAGTCGGCTAATCCGGAGTCTCGTAGAAGCTTTTCCGCGTAATGCTGTTGTGTGAGAAAGAAGCCGGACTGCTGCCGAATGATCTGAATCCCGAGGAATAAGGATAGCTTGCCTTGCTGTTTCAGAGCAAATTGAGCATGCAGCTTTGCGAGAAGATCGGTGAGAGCAGCTAGATTGTTCCCTGTAATTAAGATGTCGTCGACGTAGATTAAAAGAAAAATTTGTGTATTGTTTTGACGATAGGATAAAAGAGAAGGATCGGAGCGAGTGAACCCGAATCCTTGGTTTTGAAGGAAGGTGGTAAGCTTTTCGAACCATTGCCGCGGGGCTTGTTTGAGGCCGTAGAGAGATTTGTTCAACTTGCAAACGGCGGATGGTGAGGCGGTGTCGACGAAGCCCGGAGGTTGGCGCATGTATATGTTGTCAGGTAGTTCGCCATGGAGGAAGGCATTCGAGACATCAAGTTGAAAGATTTTCCAATTCCGATTCAGAGAAAGGGTGAGGAGGACACGGATTGTAGTCATTTTGGCGACAGGGCTGAATGTCTTAGTGTAGTTGACGCCAAATTGTTGATCGTAGCCTTGTGCAACAAGACGGGCTTTGTATCTGTCCACCTGACCGTTGGGTAGAAGTTTGGTCTTGAAGGTCCATTTGCACCCTAGGATAGGAGTGTTAGCCGGTGCGGGAACGAGAGTCCAGGTTTCTTGTTTTTGGAGAGCATGAAGTTCCTCAGACATGGCTTGACTCCAGTGCGGTATTTTGACTGCTTGGGCATATGTGCTGGGTGTAGCGGTGGAAGGAGCGGTGGTAAGGAGAGACATAATGTGTTTTGGTTTAGTAATTCCTGACTTGAGCCTGGTCTGCATGGGATGTGTAGGTATATTTGTGGTAGGAATCTCTGGCAATTCAGGTATAGTTGGCACGGCAGAACATCTCTCAGTGGAGCTTGGGCTGGATGAGGCAAAATGTTGTGTTGGTGTTGGCTGTCTAGGATGAGTTGGTCTGGTGGACGGTACAGGGTTGAGGGCCAAGGAGGAAGGAATGAGTAGTAAGGGAGAGATGCTGGGCGAGGAGGATGAGGGTGTCTGAGATTGCGTGGTGAGATTAGATTTATTAGGAAAATGTGTCTCGTTAAAAGTGACATGCCTCGAGATATATATTTTGTTTGAGATAGGGTCCAAGCATTTGTATCCTTTGTGAAATGGAGAGTAGCCAATGAACGTGCATTCGGTTGAGCGCGGTGCGATTTTGTTTGCGGCATAGGGTCGTAGCCAAGGGAAGCATTGACACCCGAAAGTGCGGAGGTGAGTGTAGGTAGGATAATTGTCGTGCAAGCGATGAAAGGGAATTTGGTTTGCAATAGAGGAGCAGGGAAGGGGGTTTACCAGGTAATTTGCGGTGGAAACGGCTTCTGCCCAGAGAAGAGCGGGCAAGTTTGCAGCGTGGAGCATGGTGCGAGCTAGATCAAGTAGATGGCTATTTTTCCGTTCTGTGATCCCATTTTGCTCGGGCGTGTGCGGACAGGTGAGCTGCCGTTGTATACCGTGTAGTTGAAGGAAATCGATGAATTCATGGCTTGTAAATTCGCCTCCACCGTCGGATCTAAGAGCTTTCGGAGTCATGTGAAACTGAGTTTGGATGAGTTGCTGAAAGAGCTTGAACTTGGAGAACGTTTCCTGTTTTGTTTTCATGAGATACATCCAAGAATAACGCGTGAAATCATCTATAAATAAGACATAATACCGAAAGCCATCCATAGAGTTTATCGGGGCAGGACCCCAAACATCCGAATGTACGAGATCAAACGCAGCAGAGGAAACAAAAGTATTTTTATTAAAGGGGATTTTGTGACATTTTGCTACAGAACAGGAAGTGCAAGAAAATTTATTGAAAAAATGTGAAATATCAGGAATAAAAGGTAACAGTTCTTTGAGAAGCCCGTGGTGAGGGTGGCCAAGACGGGCATGCCAGATCTTTTCTTTGCTCATTTGGACATGGAAGGCCGTTGATTTGGAGGATGCTGGTCGGCGAAGTTGATAGAGACCGTCACGAAGATGCCCATGAAGAAGTAGACGGTGGTCCTTGAAATCCTTTATTTTGAAACCATTAGCGTCAAAACTCACAGAAACCGGATTGTCGTTAGTTAACTTAGAGACAGATAAAAGATTGTGAGATAAACTTGGAACATGAAGAAGATTACGTAAATAAAGCTTACGAGGCGTGTCGGGTAAGGGTAGAATGCCTTGTTCGGAGTGAGCAACGGGAATTTGTGATCCGTTTGCTATGGAGACACTATCTGGACCGTTGTACTGGGCGGGATATTGAAGATTGTTGAGATCTGGCGTGAGATGGTTTGAAGCGCCCGAATCAACGATCCAATCTTGAGAGGTGGTCTGATTTGGTTGAGCAAGAAGTGCCGTCATGGACCTGGGATTCGTAGGTGCGAAGCGTGGGTTCGAATGGTACCAACAATTTAACGCTATGTGACCGATTTTGTTGCATATTTGACAAGTGGGACGGGCAGAATTTTGAGGGATCTGGTTCGGGGTGTTCGCTAACTGAATAGGTTGAGGCAGAGCTGGTCCAGTGATTGTGTACCGATTCTTGCCAGGGTGACGCTGAGGGCGATTCCTGGATTAGTTAGAGGACATAACGTAGAAGGCAGTATTACCTGAGTTGTTTGATTTTTCACGGGAGATCTCTTGATTAACATTAATCTCTTCGCTGCATAGAAGAGAATAAAGGTTATCAAGAGTCATCGGGAGGGGAGACGTGCGGATTGCTGCTTTGAACGAATTGTAGGTAGACGGAAGCCCGTTAAGAATGTGTAGAACAACATCTTCC